TCATTTTATTTTAAACCCTACACTTGTCTCGTTCCGTAACACGTCTCGATTGATCCACAGGTGCACTGCGAGCTGACGCCGCTGAAGGACTTTTATCGCGAGTTCCACTACGCATACCGGCTGTCTCCACACCCCAACATCCTCAAGGCGTACTCGGTGGCATTCCGGGCGCCGCAGGAACAGTGCCTCGTGTTCGCCACGGAGGTGGCCCCGCTCGGGGACCTGATGGGGCTGGTGCGTCCGGGTGGGCTGCCTGAGTCGCACGTCAAGAGGATAGCCCAGCAGGTAGCCTCGGCACTCCACTTCATGCACACCTCGGGTCTGGTGAGTAGGGTCTGCGCGTAAACAAACAATGCAAGCTTTTACTAGCTGTTTTGACATACGCCTTTAGCTGCCGGTCTCCATGAGTCGCTCGCTGACGCAAGCGTTTCGGCTGTTCTAGGTGCACCGGGACGTGAAGCCGGAAAACATACTGGTATGGTCGTCGGACTGCAGCCTGGTGAAGCTGTGCGACTTCGGCTGCACGCGCGTCATCGGAGAGCTGGCCACGCGTCCCCGGGGCGCGTGGAGCACCGGCCTACCGCCCGAGCTGAGCGACGCGGTCCGCAACGAGCGGGTGGCGTCCAAGCCCGCCGCGGACTGTTGGGCTCTCGCCGTCAGCCTTATCGTGTGCCTTACGGGGTCGCCGCCGTGGAGAGCGCCCGCCGCCATCGCCGACCCCAGCTACAGGGCCTTTCGCCGTTGGCAGAAGCGCCGCACCGCGCAAGTCCCCCACGCATTCAAGAGGTTTACGCCTCGGTAAGGGCCGACAGAAACGTCCTCATTCTGATATGTTTACGAAAATTGCCACTGTATGTCTGTAAGGCAAACGTGTTTGCTTTCGTTGTCACAGGTTGCTGCGCATGCTCAAGCGTATGCTGGAGCCTCACCCTGAGAAGCGGCCGGCCGTGACGGAGGTCAACAAGTACCTCAAGGACTCATGGTTTTTGGAGGGAAGTAAAGGCCCCAGCCCTTCTTCCTCGGCGCACGCCATCTTCGCCGGTACGCCATCGACTGGTCCATTCGGGAGAGCGACCCCGGGGCCGGGGCCCGTGGCCTGCCTCGGCGGCCTTGGGGCGTGCCCTCAGTGCCCGCCGGCACCCACCTCGGGCCCGGGGGACAGACCCGACCCTGCCAAGGGCCGCCTCAGGCACATCCTCAGCAGCTACGGCCTGGAGACAACGGTGGACCAGGGGACGGCTACTCGGCGCATATGGGACTGGGTAAGTGTGGAGGGGAGCAGCTCGCTGAAACACGAACTTGCCGCGTCAAACTTGGCTTAACAACTGAATTTCATCTGCGACTCTTAGGTTCAGAGCTGCGAGCTACCACCCCATGATAACTCGGACGGTATCTGAAGGTCGCTTCACCTGGTGTCGCCTAACGGAAACAACGCGCACCAGGCTGTGACCAACCCCCACCCGCTGATGGCCTGGCGCCAGCCCAGGGTGGAGGTCACCGAAGACGAAGATGACGACTTCGAGGAGGAGGAGGAGGAGGGTGAGGAGGAGAAAGTTGCTCGCGATGAAGCCCTTCCAGACCAACTTCAGATAAGGGTCGAGTCTTCCAACAGCAGTTGTTCCCCGGCGGGGAGTACCTCCGCTGGCCCTTGCCAGCCGTTCTTCATCGCGCACACTCTCCGGAGGAGGAGCATCAGCGACCCTGGTAGGCTCGCCTCCGTCCTGGTGTTTGGGCAGGACAACGACCCAGGACCTGGTCCGGGTCCCGGCCGACTTGACGGGGCTCTGCTTCCTGGTCCTGGGCCGCACCGGGCGCACCCCAGCATGACGCATTCAGTCGATAAGATCGTCGACTTTCTCAAGTTCCTCAACTGACGACAGGCCGCGCTGCTGTGCCTCGTATGTTGCTACCTGCTCAAGGTGGTCCTCTCGGCCTGAATGTGACCTCGGCCGCTAGCAGGCGCAGCATACGCCACACAGCGAGCTCGGGAATGAGGGGGTCACGACCTCGCCCCACTACCACTCCCCGTGCGGCGGCACGTGCACTTACCTTCATTTAGTATGACAGAGCTGCCACCTACGTCAACTTTCAGTCGATTCAAGTTGGCGTCATCGCTACTTCATGTGGAGTCTACAAGACAGGTGCAGCAGCCGGCCGGACTGTTTTACAAGAGGGCATAATCATCCTTTCGCTAGGATGAGACTGGATTTACGTAGATTGTAGAGTGTTTTGCTTGCCACCCCCTCTCCGTTTCCCCCGTTTTTCTCCTTTCCTCGTTTTTTTCAGTCCTATTCCTAGTTCTATACAGTCTTTCTGTGCTAATAGCTGTGAGAAACGATTTTCTTGTGCCAAATGATTCTTTTGTTTTTAAGAGATGTCCTGCCACACACTAGTAGATTTGAGAATAGCGGAGTGTACACCTGCAGTACTCTCCCCTGAAATAGCCTTCAGCGGGTATTTCGGTGCACTCGCCGGTGCGAGCGGATTTGTCTACTCCCTCTGCCGTTCGGCGCCATAGCCCCTGTGAGTAGGCAAGCCCACGCTCACCGGAACGTGCCCCGCAACATCCTGGACAGAGTTATATTTTAAGAGGTATAAGTTTATAGTGACTTTTTGGCCAAAACGTATCCGCTGTCGCATTTATACTTCTTTAATCCCTGTCTCCTTTTTCATATATTTTATCATACCTGTGCAGTACTTTGTATGTTAGTTCAATGATGTAGAGTTCTGAGACTTGATGAATGAATTTTGATTGACTTGGCATAGAAAATATAATCGGAACCATAAATTTAATAAAATCAAAACGAAATTGATTAATGAACAATGGTTTGCTCAAGGGGCTCATGCTTATAAACTATGGTCTAGTTTCCTTAAATTAGAGGTAGGGGCCGCATAAAGTTCTCAAATGACTGAGATATTATTTGCCGTAAAAAGTACAAAGATATGTTTACGCTTTTCCTTTTGTAGTCAATGTTCATATTTTTAAAGGAAATGCTATACTGACAGAATGTGCCAGTAAAAGAGTATTAAACAGTAAAGAGGATTTAAATGAGAAAATGAAATTTGGGAATTTTGAAAGAGACAATGATAAATTATAACAATGATTTCAATCAGGGATTGACCGCTTTTTGATTATGACATCGCCAGGGACTTGATGAGGAATATGGTGGAAATCTATTGACAGTTCCACATGCCTCAACTCTGCAGTGCACATTTAAGCACATTCCTGACGAAAAATAAATATATAAAAAGATTGTAACGCTATTGTTATGATTCAGAAGTCTTAGAAATACATTCCACTGTGTTTGTGGAGAGCTAAGAAGATGCTTCATAGTTGTTTCTGAATAAAGAACTGTAGTAAAATGTAGTGTAAAACTACGTGATATACCTTTATCTTAGGCAGTGCTAGCAAGTTCTTCCATGCTGTAAAATATTTTTTTAAATATGTATAAGATTAAGTGATGTGCCATTTCACATATCGAATGTTATTTGAATACAGGTGAACAGCCTGTCTGTTGCAAGCAGTTTGCATCTTCAAACTACAAGGAAATTCTAAACATATGTCGTTGTAATGATACCCTTGCTTGGGAACCGTACATACGTTTCTTGATTGTTTGAGACAATATTTACTGTAGTGGACCAATGTACTCAATGTAGATTTTTACCCCAGTGATAAGGTCACCTAATCAACAGAATTTCAAATAAATTGTAACGGCTTGGTAAGCCTTTCAGAAAATTTGCCCTTACAACGAGAAAGGTGTCACTTGCAGACATATTCAATTCAAACGAACAGTTTTTTCCTTTTCTCCTAGAACTTGAAGCTTGCTTTATACCAAGCTGAGAATTTTCTTAAACTATGTAGTTTGCTAATAATTAAAAGTCTTGAGGGTTCATCACAGGGACACTTTTATTCTACTAATTAAACATTAGATTATGATTTGGTGTTAGCAAATATCGTGAACTGTTACTGATAAAATCAGAAATAAGGACTGTACGCTATGCTGACATTTAGTAAATTCAGTATTAATAAAATAGATAAAATGTATCTTCCTGTAGATATTTAGCAAAATTGTGCAAACATTGCTATTTTACCTGCAATATTATCTGAGAGCTCGAAGTAAACGTGACAATTTTAAAAATAAAATGTTCATTCAATACTCTTGTTTGTTCTTATTCCATCCACTATCCTTAGTCTGATAGGTATAGAGGCGAAATAAACTGGGATTTAAATGTCTGATGAGGCGGGGCTCCAGGACTTTGAGAGCGCTTTCGTTTTGAAGCTGAAACATGCCACGGTGCACAGTCTGTCGTAGACCATGTGAGCACCTGGGGTAGCGCCGGGCCATCCTCCTCGTCCTTAAAATCACACCCTACTCCGCGCGCACAGAGACTTTGGCCGGTATCAGATGTGTGCGGCGGCGGCGGGTGTCGGCTCGCGTAAAGCAAGCGAGACCCTCGTAGTACATCGATGGGTGTTGGTGTTACGTCCCTGTTTCTATCTACCAGCTGTACAAACGATGCAGCACGGTAGTTGCCTACCCTATAGGCACTCTGTCGGCTACAGGTGGGCCGGAAGGGGCCTTTGACTACCTGCCCATGACGTGCAGCAGCTGTTGCTGTTCGTTTATACTGAGGACCGCATAGCATGTACTCTTTCATCGGGTTCTCGTTTGTGCACGTATACAAATCAAACAGTTTATAATACGCACTTTGATTTAGCACTTAGCAAAGATATTCCAAACTCCTTAACAGCTTAACGAAGTCAATTATTGCGGGTACACAGGGTGGGCCGTAGACCCCGTCGTTTATATTCTGCTTATACTGTACCGGGCTTGCCTGCCGTCGCTCACAACGGCGCCTTACCTTAGGGCTCCGTGTGAGTGTGACACCCGCCCGCACGTCTGCATGCGGTACAGTACAAGAAAATAACAAAGTAGACGCACGTTTAAACCGTGTGAAGCTGAGCTAAATGTGCGTCTACCTTGGCCTGC